TCAAAAAAATCCACGCCTTATTGGTAGACTTCAAAAAACATTCTTTAAAAAAATACACGCCTTATTAGGATCCAAAGGATCCAAAAAATATTCCTAAAAAAATTCACGTCTTATTGGTAGGCTCTAAAAAAATATTCTTTAAAAAATCCAGCTGTCGTAACTATCAATCAACTACTTCTTAACCCCCTTTATGTCCACATATCATCCACCACGTATCATTCATTCCAATCCATGATACCTTCACGACAGTAGCTATCAAAATTTATTAAATAAACATGTGAACATCTTGTTATAACAAATATTCATTGAATTTACATATTTATCTCGGAGTGTTGTGATAGACACAAGATTTTGTGTAAACATAACTTCTGCTTCTTCTTCTCTATTTGCTAAACCAACCACCACCAGCAGGTTGGACAATGTCTTCTGACGCTTTAGAGAATTATGTAATTTTGACACGGTATTTGAATTGGGTTTATTGGTTTTTGTTGTCAACAGCAACAACTACGCTATGAAGAAGAAGAGGAACAACAACAACAAATACTGCGAACAAGCCTTTCAGTTCGACCAAAAACATGTTGCCGATCATCATCACCAACCACCATCATCATCATCAATATTCATAACGCCGCCTTCCTTCTCAGTGAACTATTAGATGGTCGTCTCGGCTACAGGCTATTTGTTCAACATTGTACCATTATTCAGTGAGACCTAGCACCGCAGCCCCTCCCCCCCTATTCATCATCACATCGCGTCAAAATGATCAATATTTGGTCTTTTATGGTGGTTTAGTATCTTGAGTAGCATTCGGAATTTGTTGACTTAACATATTTGCAACGCCATTCAGTCTCTATGCGGAATGTTGAAAAAAAAAAAACACGAAAATCCTACTACAGTTGTGAATTTTTAGACAATATTTATTTTTATAATCAATGATTATCTTTGGGATGGCATTCATAGCCTTAGAATGGGACCTCATTTCATAGCTAAATATATAATTGTGATAATACCACACCTTTTTAACATACATTCGATATTATGAAATGGAATTTAATTAATACCGATTATGAGAGGTTATTCGCTTTAATGACCTTGTAGATAGCTTGAAAGCAGGGTGGGGAAAAGAGGGATATACTAAAAAATTTAATAAAATTAGGAATATTTAAAGGCATACAAAGAAAAGCATTCTTTAAAAAATCCATGATTATTTATTGGTCCCTTAAAATATTCTTTAAAAAATCCACGATTATTTAGGGGCCCCTAAAAATATTCTTTAAATATGCACGATTAATAAGTGGCCCCAAAAAATATACTTTCAGAAATCAAGAATTAATTAGTGGGCCCTAAAATATTCCACATAAATGCACAATTTAATAGTGGCCCCTAACTATGATCTTTAAACATTCCACGATTAATTAGTGACCCCTAAAAATATTCTTTAAAAATCCACGATTAATTAGTGGCTCCAAAAAAGGTTTTTTTAAACTTTCACGATTAATTAGTGGCTCTAAAATATTCTCTAAAAGTGCATAATTAATTATTGGCCCCTAAAAGTATTCCATATAAAATGCACTATTGAATAGTGGCCCCTTACAATAATCTTTAAACATTCCACGATTAAGTAGTGACCCCTAAAAATATTCTTTAAAAATCCACGATTAATTAGTGGCTCCAAAACATGTTTTATAAACATTCACGATTAATTAGTGACCCTAAAATATTCTCTAAAAGTGCACAATTAATTATTGGCCCCTAAAAGTATTCCATATAAAATGCACTATTAAATAGTGGCCCCTAACAATAATATTTAAAAATTCAACGATTAAATAGTGAGCACAATATTCTTTCAAAAAATCCACGATAGATTAGTGGTCCCTAAAAATATTCTTTAAAAAATCAACGATTATTTAGCGGATATTTTGGGGCAGTCATTTAAGCGTGGATTTTTTGAAGAATACTTTTAGGAGTAGTTACTTAAGCGTGGGTTTTTTGAAGAATATTTTTAGGAGTAGTTACTTAAGCGTGGATTTTTTAAAGAACATTTTTAGGAGCAGCTACTTAGGCTTAGATTTTTTAAAGAATATTTTTAGGGGTCAAATATTAAGGCGTGGATTTTTAAGTCATATTTTTTAAGGGTCAAATATTAAAGCGTGGATTTTTAAAAAAATATTTTAAAGGGTCAAATATTAAGGTGTGGATTTTTAAAAGATATTTTAAGGTGTGGATTTTTTTAAATATATGTTTTTTTAGGTCAAATATTAAGGCGTAGATTTGTAAATCATATTTTTAGGGGTCAAATATTAAGGCGTGGATTTTTAAAGCATATTTTTTAAGGTCAAATATTAAGGCGTAGATTTGTAAAGCATATTTTTTAAGGTCAAATATTAAGGCGTAGATTTGTAAAGCATATTTTTTAAGGTCAAATATTAAGGCGTAGATTTGTAAAGCATATTTTTAGGCGTCAAATATTATGGCGTGGGTTTTTATAGCACATATTTCAAGGGTCAAATATTAAGGCGTGGATTTTTATACCGTACTATGTTGTTGGGGTATTATAGCTTTGTGCAGCCCCAAAAGTATGTAACGCCGCGAAATATTGGTCCTAGACCCACCTTTAAGTATACCGATCGTCATATTTCGACTAGCTGAGTCGATCTAGACATGTGTGTCCGTCCGTCTGTCCATTATAAATTGTAAACACGATACAGGCCACAGTTATGGACCAATCTTCACGAAAATTTGCATGTAGGATGGATTTGGCCCAATGAAGACCCCTATTGTTTTCGGTAGAGATCGGTTAATAATTAGGGGATGGAATGGACCAAATACTTAATGTTTGTCGGTTTTTCTGGTCGCTCCAGAGGCCGCAATTATGGCCAAAACATCTCGAATTTGTACATGGAGAAGGGGATCGGGCCAAAGTATAAGCATACCTGTTTTGATAAAGATTGGTCAATATTTAGCGGGTCAAATGAACCCTGACTTTTGTGTGAAAAATTACAAAATTTGTATTCTATGGGGTATATATTTGCACCTGAAGGTCCTAGACCCAAGAAGTATGTTCAAGAGGAGTGGTTGACCTTTAAATTGATACCAATTATATTGTCGTATGTATTCGGATGTGGGAGTTACACTTAAATATTTACAGGTACTTATGTACACAGATATTATTTAGTAACCCATAAACACTAGAGCGCGAAAATATAGCGCAGATCGCTTTGAAATTTTCCATGAAGATCAGGTTATGGTCAAGGACAACGCCTATAACTTTCGGTGATGATCAGATTATAATTATGTTTTTTCGAGTCGATGCCAATAATAAGCCGAACATCACAACACAACCACGGTACAACAACCGTTCCCTCGGCAATCGGATCTACGCTCCGGAACGACCCGAGTTCGACTCGGCCAGGGATTGTCAACTCAGCGACAGCTGTACAAAACGAAAGTTTTTTTTTCCACAGGAAAGAACTTTCGTCAACAGCCAACCTGTTACAACAACAACAACACAAACACGGTGAAGAGAATCTGGGCAATTAATTAGAAGGGCTGTACTGAATATGTCAGTGTAAGGAAGAGGTGCTGTTGACCTCTAATCAGGCTAGAGGGAGCAAATATCACGAAATATAGCCCAGACTCGAAATAAACATATGTAGAAAGTTAGAGTTCCGTGGTAGTTGTGTAGGGTATCGTATGGTCGGCCCCGTCCGACTATACTGCTCCGCTCACTGGTTTAAATAATAGATTTTGGATTTTTTAAGAAGATTTTTATAAGAATATTTTTAGGGGCAATTAATTAGGATTGGATTTTTAAAGCATATTTTTAGGGACAATTACTTAGGTTTGAATTTTTAAAGCACATTTTTAGGGGAAATAACTTAGAATCGGATTTTAAGCATATATTGAGGGGCAATTATTCAGCATTGGATTTTAAAGCATATTTTTAGGTGCAATTATTTAGAACTAAAAAAAAACAAAAACCATTTTAAATATATTTGAAAAATATAATTAAATTATGAATTTAAAAGATAAATAAATTTAATGGAATTACCATCCAACCTTCCCGTACAACCATTTGCCTCATTGTTAATTTACACATTTAAAGCCAAAACTATAATTTGGTAATTTGTGGCAATTGCTTGTGTTTAGTTTTATGTGTCTGCGACTCGATCGGTGTGTAACCACCTTTTAATGCCACCTGAATGTTGTCAGACCCGACACGCGTCAATGTTGTTTGAAGATTGTCGGCTAGACAGAGAATACGGTGTGTGCTCGTATGTGTGTTTCTGACAATTGGAAACATTATTCGAAAGATGGAAAAAAATAGTCATTTATAACCACACGATACCGACACATGCGACACGCAAAGGTGTTCCAAAACTGACAAAGATCCAAGACAATGATTGAAATGTTAACTACTCGAAAAAAACACAGAAACATTTGTAGAGTGTGTGTGGCCCCCATCTGACATCTCTCTACTCCACTCCACTCCTCTGTAACCAAAAAAAAGTCTACGACCCAACTAAGCCGCGATATAATTGCAACAATTGTAAAGTTGTTAAGTGGTATTTAAACGATAGAAAATTATTTTAAGTTTTAAGTCCCCATAGAGGAATATGTTTGGTATTTCTTGTTATTTGTTGGTTATTGTCTGCTTCTTCCTTCTCCTCTTCTTCGCCTTCTTATCCATAGATTACACAAAGAATAAATGATGTTGTAATTAGTTTCAGTTTAAATACGCTTTTTCAAGTTTCATTTCATGCCTCATTGTTATCTCCTTCAACAGATGGCGGTTGTCTACCTCTAAAAAATATATTTTTTAAAAAATATCATTAAATTTTTTTAAACATAAAAAATGTTGAAGTTATTAAAAACTAATTACAGAATATGTTATTTTGTACATTGTTGTTGTAATTATTGAAAATGTATGTTAATATTGTCTATTTTTTTGTTTCTTTTCATTGCAGTTGAATTCCAACAAAACATCGTCCAGTACAACAGCAACAACACACAGCAAGGCCAAATGCACAAATGGCAAAACAAATTGCCGTCGTTACAGCTCCGTCCATACCCAACAGCCGGCTGGACCCGTACGTGAAATCCAAATAGATCCTTATATTATTATGGACGATGAGCTGAAATATTTCTATGAAGATATTAGAGATGTAAGTAGAAAATTATATTTTTAAAAAAATGCACGCCTTATATAGTCCTCGCACGCCTTATATATTCTTTAAAAAATCCATGCCATGTAGTACTAATTACTTACTTAGCTGGCTTGTGACAGAACTTTCGTTCCATAAGCCAAGCTTAGAAAAGATTTATAGGCACGTGTGTCTTTGGCGCCGTTTTTCCAATTTGAAATACCATTTTCGGCAATGTTGTCTTCGACTTGATCTTTCCATCGTATTCGTGGCCTTCTCCTTCTGCGTGAACCATCAGCTGGTTCGCTTTTATATGCCTTCTGAGCTGGGGCATCTTCATCCATTCTCACAACATGACATGATTCTCACTAGCAGTGTCGATGTCCGAGAATAGCTGGTACAACTCATGGTTCATTCGACGGAGATATACACCGTCAACGCAGATCGGGCCATAGATCTTTCGGAGAATTTTTCTCTCAAGCACCCAAGAGCTGCCTCATCTGCTTGCGTAAATACCTATGCTTCAGATCCATATAACAGCACGGGTAGTATCAGCGTCTTGTAAAGTGTGAGTTTGGTCTGGCGGGAGGTGGCCTTGCTTTTGAGTTGTTTGCTCAGACCATAGAAGCATCGGTTGGCCATCACTATCCTTCTTCGAATTTCAAAACTGATATCATTCGTTTTAATTATGGCGGTACCAAGGTATATAAAATCTTTGACTACCTCGAAGCTATAGTTCTCAAGTTCCACAGTTGGTCCGAGTCTACTGGACGTCTTGCGCGTTGATACCATCAGCTTGGTCTTCTCGCCGTTTACTGTGGGTCTGGCAGACTCCTTCTCAATTTGTTCAAAGGTGGCTGTTACCGCTCGCAATGTTCGACCCATTATATCGATGTTATCGGCATAGGCGAGTAACATGTGTTGTTTGGTGTACCGAGTGCCATTGCATTCACTTTTGCCTCTCGTATGACCTTTTCCAGCAGGATGTTAAAAAGGTCACACGACAAACTGTTACCTTGTCTGAATCCTCGTTCGGTATTAAAGGGCTCCGATAGGTCCTTTTCGACTTTAACTGCTGATCTTGTGCCTGTTAAAGTTATCCTGCATAGCCGAATAAATTTTGCAGAAATGCAATACGCATCCATGGCTTTATACACCTCTGAACGGATAGGGCTGTCGAATGCGGCTTTATAGTCGACGAATAGGTGGAATGTGTCGATGTGTTTCCAGGATTTGGTGCAGAGTGATGATCTGGTCAATGGTTGCCAGGTTTGAAGCCACAAAAGTGTATTCAGTCGTGCACACAGTACGCTGGATAGCACTTTATATTCGATGGGAAGGAGACTTATTCCTCTATAGTTGGCACATATCGTGGCCTCGTGTATATCGAGATGCTTGAATGTGGCGCTGCTAACCAACATGGTTTTTGCTGCCGCGAAGTCAATCAACCTCATGCCGTTGTCCGATGTTTCTTCGTGGAGGCTGAATTTTCCGACGGCGGGACCAAAGATATTTTCTCTTCCGATTTTTGCATTTAAATCTCCTTTTAGCAGAATTTTAATGTCATGGCCAGGGCAACGATCATATGCTGTTTCTAGGCGCTCGTAAAATATGTCTTTGGTCTGTTCATCTTTATCTTCGGTCGGATCATGGGCGCAAATGAGACGTATGTAGAAGAACTTCGCTATTACACGGATTATAGCAATTCGTTCATCTACTGGAGTGAATTTGGAGACGAGGTCTTTTATTTTCCTGTTAACCATAAATCCGCAGCCAAATTCATGTCTCTTTTCATGGCAGCTATAATAGAGGGGGTAATCGTCTGATTTACTTATGCCAGTCCCTTTCCATCGCATTTCCTATAAGAAAATAAAATCGGCTTTGTACTTCTTGAGTAAATCCGCCAAAGCGACCACTGCGGCTGTTCTGTACAACGTGTGCTCATTCCAAATGCATATTCGCAGATCGTGGTCCTTTATACATTTGCGGGGGTCGTCAACATTAGGGGGGTTTGGTTTTCTTTTTCTTTGCTTTTTCATAGTAGGTTGGGTTTTCCGAGAGTGGGCAACTAACCCGACGCCTCAAGCAATTTTTTTTGTAGTAGTCCTTGAAAATATAATTTTTTAAAAAATCCACGCCTTGTAGTAGTCCTTGAAAAAATATTGTTTAAAAAATCCGAGGCTTGCAGTAGTCCTTGAAAACTATTCTTCGCTTGTTGTGGTCCTTGAAAAAAATATTCTTTAAAAAAATCCACGCCTTGTTGTGGTCCTTGAAAAAATATTCTTTAAAAGAATCCGCGCCTTGTTGTGGCCCTTGAAAAATATTCTTTAAAAAAATCCACGACTTGTTGTGGTCCTTGAAAAAATATTCTTTAAAAAAATCCACGCCTTGTTGTGGTCCTTGAAAAAATATTCTTTAAAAGAATCCACGCCTTGTTGTGGCCCTTGAAAAATATTCTTTAAAAAATCCACGCCTTGTTGTGGTCCTTGAAAAAAAGATTCTTTAAAAAATCCACGCCCTGTTGTGGTCCTTGAAAAAAATATTCTTTAAAAAATTCACGCCTTGTTGTGGTCCTTGAAAAAATCCACGCCTGGTTGTGGTCCTTGAAAAGGATCCTAAAAATATTTTTTTTTTTAATTTTGTTTTTTGTTTTCTTCTTCTTCCAGCTACTTTCCCAAGGCACAACTCAAATGGAACTGGACACCATTGCCAATTACTACATTGATGGTCAGGGTAAGGCCTTGCGACCAATGATTACAATGCTCATGTCCAAAGCCATAAATTATCATTTGAACAAAGAATCAAGGTAAGTTGTTGTAATTTTTTTTTCAATTTTTGAAAATTCATATTCAAAATTTCCTTGAATTTTTATTATTGCCACTTTTTTATGCGTTTTGATATTTGTTTCTGAATTGTGTAGTTTTTTTTTTGGCAAAAAGTAATTGAGAAATGAAAACGCATATACGTGATGCAGCTACCGTGGCTACCAATGCTGCTGCTGGTTTTACTGATTTTATGTTCACGATAATGACGTGACATTATCGTATTGAGTACACATATAGTTTTTTGCTTTACGATATTGATTTTGGAATATTCACAGACAGTGGGGTTGGTTTCGTTTGTGTGTGTGTGTGTGAGATATTTTATGAGGATAGGATTTTGGTTGGATGACGGAATTTCATCTGGCTGCAACTGCACACCATTTGAGATTATCTCAAAAAAATTTAATTTATGTTACCATTTATGCAACTTTTTAATAATTATTTTAATTGGCTCAAGAAATTGGCTAAAATAATTTTTATTAATTAAAAAATAACTAAATTTTATAATTATTTTTTTTTTTTTTTTGCCATTTAAAAATATCCCACTGTAACTGATGAACGGCAATCTGAATCTGCACGGCTGTCTCACTTAACTGAATTGCTTGTTATTTGGTGATTTTTAACATTTATTCGCATAAATCACTTGGAACAATTGCAGTTATTGTTTCACAATGAGACGGGGAAAAAATTCACCTCCTCCTCCTTCCAGCAAATCTGCCCGCCATTACCCATTTGTATTGATAATTAGTTGCTACAATTATTATTATTGGTACACACACAATCGGTCAGTCATACAAAAGATGTCCATATTAACCCAATTTTATTCCACTGAATTATTTCATTTCTTGTTGTTGCTTCATTGTGCTGCAAGTACATATTTGCAATGCTTTTACTGTTAATTTTATTTGCTGTTGCTTTTTGATTTATTTTTAATCGTTAAATTTTTATATGCCTTCTTCTCCGTATTTACAGGGAATTATTGGATAAACAACGACAAATTGCCATGTTCTCTGAAATGGTGCATTCAGCCAGTTTGGTACACGATGATGTTATCGATCAGTCTGATTTTCGTCGCGGCAAACCCAGTGTTAATGTTTTATGGAATCATAAAAAGGTGAGTAATATTAAAATGATTTTTGTTTAGAGGGTATGGAACTATAATAAGAAGGGTATATATTCATAATTAGAGTAAAATTGGACAAAACTTTGAAATTGTGCACAGACATTGTTATTATTCCTATTTATGTGTGGCTCTCATATGTATGTATGCTGAAGGTCATAACAGCATTTCATCAAAATATACTTTTCAAAATACAGTATTTTAAAATTATATTTGAACAAAATATTTTTAAAATTTGCGTTTTCAATCCTTAAAAAATTGCGCCTGTAATAGCCCTTAAAAACATATTATTTAGAATATCTATACATCAGTAAAGAAACAACCACGCAATGGTTTGCCTCCAATTTTTATTTTTTAATTAAGACTTCCAAAATTGTGTTAAAGCCTTCTAGAAATATGTTTTTAAATCCTCCCAAGTTTGCGACTTATTAAAAAATGCTTTTTTAATTTACTGTAAATCTTGCGAAACAGGTCTCATAAAAAGTTTCCGCTCTGTTTCAGAGATTTGGAATTTTAATTTCTAATCAAAATTTCTGTAATTGGGTTTCTCAGAAGGTAACAGAGTTGCTGGCCAATTGTATACATAGGCTCACGTTTGGGCATAATGAGATCTAATTATGGGAAATATTTTAGATGACTCCGACAGTTCTATGCAATCTAAAATATATTCGAAATTTATTAGTTTAAATTTATACAGTCGAACACGTTGGTTTGTTTTCAATAAATTACATATTTCACATATAAAATGTATAGAGGAATATATAGATCAAAGCCCGGATCAGTATAGTGGGACGGGCCGACCATATTATGCCCAACACAACTACCACTAAATTCTAATTTTCTGCGCGCTATTTTTCGAGCTTGGACAATATTTTTCGATATTTGTTCCCTAATGGTCGATTAGAGGTCAGGTTTCTTGCATTGACAACTGTTTTGGATTATATTTTTCCGAAGTGAACCTTTACGCCATATGACGCATTTTTTATTTTTCACACAGAAGTCTTGGTTCATTATACCCACCAATTACTGACTGATCATTACGAAAACACGCATTCCAATTAGTTTGTCGGATCGCTTTCCTTTGGAAAGTTTAAAATTGTAGCGTCTAGAGCCACTAGAAAACCAGAAAAAACACATTTTTTCAGAAAAAACGCATTTTTTCAGAAAAAACACATTTTTTCAGAAAAAACACATTTTTTCAGAAAAAAACACATTTTTTTTCTGGTTTTCTTTTCGGTATCATACCAGAAATATCGTCCTATCATCATAGAAAATTATAGGCGTCATCCTTGACCATAACCGGAACATCATGAAAAATTCCCTATCCATCAGCGCTGCGTTTCCGCCCTACAGTATGGTAATGGAATACTAAGTAATATTAGAATACGTAGACACCGGAGTACATACATATATAATTGCTATGCAATTAAAGATCAAACACTCCTCTTCGATATACTATCAACATCTCGGATCTATGTTCTACAGGAGTGATTATATACGCCATAGATTGAAAATGTTGCCATTTTTTACACAATACATTTTACACAATAAATATTGTTCGATCTTTATCAAAACAGTAAGGCTTATTTTTTGACTAAATCCCCTTACCCATGTAAAATTTCTTGTTGTTCGGATCATAATTTTTGCCTCTGTAGCGAACAAAAAACAGACAAAAATAATGTTTTTGGCCCATTTCATTCTCTAAATACACATACGGAAACACATTCTTAGATCGACTCAGTTAATCGAGATATGACGATCGGTTTACTAAAAGGTGGGTCGAGGACTAATATTTCGTGACGTTACAAACTTTTGGGGCCACTTACTAACTTACTTATCTGGCGATATGTCAGACTATGTCGATGTCCGAGAAAAGATGGTACAACTCATGCTTCATTCTACGGCGATATTCACCCTCGACGCAGATCGGCCCATATATCTTTCGGATGATTTTTCTCTCAAATACTCCAAGAGCTGCCCCATCTGCTTGCGCAATTACCCATGCTTCAGATTCATACAACAGCACGGGTAGTGTCAGGGTCTTACAGAGTGTGTGTTTGGTCTGGTGAGAGGTGGTCTTGTTCTTGAATTGCTTTCTCAGACCAAAGCTGATGTTTTTAGTTTTGTTTATGGCGGTACCAAGGTATATAAAATCATTCACTATCTCGAACCTGTAGTTTTCAAGTTCCACAGTTGATCCGAGTCTACTGAACGTCTTGCACCTTGATACCATCAGCTTGGTCTTCTTGCCATTTACTGCCTGACCCACTTTGGCTGACTCCTCAATTAGTTAAAAGGTGTCTGTTACCGCTCGCAATGTTCGACCCATTATGTCGATGTCATGCTGTTTGGTGTACAGAGTGTCATTTCTATTCACCTTTGCCTCTCGGCAAAGCAGGATGCAGAATGTTAAAAAGGTCATAAGACAAACCGTCACCTTGTCTGAATCCTCGTTCGAAGGGATCTGAAAGGTCCTTTTCGGCTTTAACTGATCTTGTGCCCGTTAAAGTTATCCTGCATAGCCCTACTAATTTTGCAGGAATGCCAAACGCAGACATGCCTTTAAACACATCTGAGCGGATTGGGCTGTCGAATGCGGCTTTCTAGTCGACGAATATGTGGAATGTGTCGATGTGGTTTTCGTGGGTTTTTCCCAGGATTTGGTGAAAATCTGTTGGCACATATTGTCTTGTCTCCTTTTTTGTGCATGCTGAGGTTCCAATCATTGGCCATGCATTTCTCTTGCCAAATTGTAGTAATCAGCTGGTGCATGCTCCTTACCAGCATCTTACCACCAGTCTTTAATAGTTCGGCTTGTAGCCCATTGGCACCTGCTGCTTTATTATCTTCAGCCGATTGGTTGCTATTCTGACCTCATCTTGGCTAGGTAGTATACACTCTATACCGTCATCTATTATTGGTTCTGGGGTATCCTCTTCACCGCCACTATTTAATACCAGAAGCTCCGCAAAATGCTTCTTCCAGATCCTCATACGCTATCGGTATCTGTCACCAGGTTTCCATCTTCATCTCTACAGGAGGATGTGCCTGCGCCAAAGCCTTCGGTTTGGTGTTTTAGTCGTTGGTCAAATTTTCGGACTTAATTCTGACTTCTGAACATCTCCATTTGCTCACGCTCATGTTTTTCTTGTTCTTTCTTTTGAAAATGCGTTTCTTCTCTCTCCTTTTGTCTCTATAATTCTCTCTTGCATTGTGCGTTGCTACTATGACAACCTGCAAGGGTTGTCATATATATATATATATATGTATATAATATATATAATAAGATGAGGGAGTAGGCCTAGGCTACATGTTGTGTTTGCAGCTTTTCGACGTCGAGTTTCCGTGTTGTGTTAGATCGCATCTTTGCTGCTGCATTAAGGCAAGTGCGAACCTTGGCTGCTACAAGGTAGTGGTCCGAACACGATGAATGCCTTCCGTCTATCACAACATGATCGATTTGATTTCTTGTGAGATGAAAGAAGGACCAAGATAAGCCTCAGCTTCGCCATGTTAAAGCCAATCAGAGTCGTTGCTTGGTATCTACCATCCCCTACGCCACCCAGTTGCCAAATCTGTTTTGGAAAAAACTTTAATTTCTCGCTTGTGATTTTATTTCCTTCGATATCCCAATTTATATCGTATTTCTTTTTGAGCGACTTTTTATGGCGTATAAGTATTGTCATTAATTACACGTAGTAGTTGACCGATATGTCGTATCCACTCAATGGAAAGAATTCTATAGTGCATATTATCCTTACACTTAAATTTATTACAGAATTGACTAAAATTAAAGCATTAAAAAATTTAAAAATCATAAAAAGTTTTTTATATTCTTCATATGCCACTGTGGCGTACTAATGTTGTCATTATTTATACGCAATAGTACTCCGCTGGGTCGTATACACTAGATAGAATGAATTCTCTAGTATGTATGATCTTAAAAATCGAATTTATTCAAAAATTGACCTTCATTACTGTGGATATGATCTTAAAAATTACGTTTATTATTGAATTTACATGCCGCTGTGACGTATACATTTCGTCATTAATTATATGCAATAATAAGCTCGAGTGTCGTTAATGTAGCGGATATCATCTTTAAGATTTATTTTATTTCAGATTTCACCTTCATGTATTTAACAAAATTTAAAAACCAATCAGATGTGGTTGTTAAAAATCTTAAATTATGCCATTACGTTTAAATTCTGTAATTTAACACAAGTTTTATGGCCCATACGAAAAATTATATCTCTGTATATTTTTTTTTACTTATGACAGATAATAATTAAAACAATATATATGCTGCACTATTTACCAGTTTAAATGGCATAGCGATATCAAAATTTGCATTGTTATCTCTCCAAAAAAGAACCTTCAACTTAAAACTAAAGCCTAAAGTAAAGTTTTTATTTTTTTTTTCATTTTTTTCATTTTTTTTACCTCAAAACTTTACCAGCGAACACTTACAAAATAATAAACACCTTTCTGTATTCATGTTTCATAGCTCACGTGTAATTTTCTTGTGTGTTTCTTTTTTTTAATTTTTAATATCAAGATAAAAGAATTGTATGAGAAAAAAAAACAATAAATGTTTATGGGCCACATTAATAGCTGTGATAAACTGCTGGTGATTAACATGAATGGCCTTTTTGTTGTTCGTGTTTTTTTCTGGCCGATGGAAGTGACGATAATTTAATTCTTTTTATTATTATTATTATCATTACAATTATTGTAGTTCAATTCGTTACAGTTATTTTATTGCAGTTGTAGTTGTATTTCAATTTCCGTCTAAATTAATTTCTGAATATTGTATTCTTCTTCTTGTTATTCTTGAACACCACCAGGTTACAATGGCCGGCGATTATATTCTGGCTGTGGCTTCAATTATGGTTGCTCGTCTAAAATCGGATGATGTCACAATAGTTATGAGTCAGGTAAGTTTGTATATATGTATATGTGTTAAAAGTTATAGTAAGTGTATAATTAAAATTAAATTTTATTATGAAGATGTGAAGTGGCAATGCGTGTCATTATATTGCGGAAAATGCAATATATCATTTATGTATACTGGTGATATGTGAAGTCGGAAGTAAAATGAAAGAACTTCCTATATAGAGAGAAATATATTCTATAAGAAGGTCTAGTTTAGTAAAAACGGTTATTTTAACCGGAAGTTAGGGTACGGGTACCCGGTTATAGCCGAAGATATTCTGGTCATCTGTACGAAGACTGAATAGGTCCTATCTAAAAATACATACATAATGATATATATCCTGTCTGCTATAAATCGATTAATTTGTCTTCTATAAGTAGGCCTATTTGGTCTCGAATCAAGTTTTTTAGGAATATTTTGTCATCTTTAAGAATACCTATTTGGCCGTCTATAAGAAGGCCTATTTGATCTTGCAGGAAGCCTTATTCGTCCTCCTATAGAACGACGTATTCGTACTCCTACAGAAAGCAGACCTATTCGGTCTTCTATAAGCAGACCTATTTGATGTCCTATAAAACGACGAGTTCGGCTTTTAATAAGAAGAGACCTCTTCGTCTTTTTATAAGCAGCCCTACACGGCTTTCTTTAAAATGTTCTATACGGGCTTTTATAAGAAGCTCTATTCGGCCTTTTATAAGAAATCGTATTCGGTTTTTTATCAGAAGACGAATTTAGTTCGCTATAAGAAGACGTATTCGGTCTTCTATTAGGCCTTCTTCGGTCTTCTATAGGAAGACCTATTCGGCCTTCTATAAGAATACTTATCCGAACTTCTTCAAGAAGACATATTCCGCCTTCTATAATAAATCTTGAACGACCATCTATAAAAAGTCCTACTGGACCTTCTATATGAAGTCCTATTTGGTCTTCTTTAGGAAGACCTATTCGGCCTTCTATATGAAGACCTATTCGATCTTCTATAGGAAGACCGCATTATATATGAAGACCTATTTCGTCTTTTATAGGAAGTCCTATACGGCCTTCTATAGGAGGTCCTATTCGGCCTTCTATGCAAGACATATTTGGCCTTCTATAAGAACTCTTGAACGACCTTCTGTAAAAAGTCCTATTAGACCTTCTATAGGAAGACCTATTCGGCCTTCTATAAAAAGACCTATTCGGACTTCTATAAAAAGACTTTTTCAGTATTTGGCCTATTCGGTCTTCTATAAGCAGACCAATTCGACCTTTTCGATCTTCCAAGGGAAAATATTTTATACGACCCATTTGGTCTTCTCTAAGAATATATATTCGATGGTATATAAGATATCCTCTATTGGATTCTGTTAAAAGAACTATTCGAAGGAGTTTGTTGTCCTATATAAGACGACCTTCTGGTCTTCTGTAATACGACCTTCTAGTCCTTTAAATACGACTTTCTGGTCTTCTGTAATACGTCCTTCTAGTCCTTTAAATACGACTTTCTGGTCTTCTATGAGACGACCTTATAATCTTCTTTAACTTCTAACCTTCTGACCCTCTATAAGGCGACCTTATGGTCATTTAAAGAAAACTTTCCATAAGACGACGTATTCTAAGCTATGACCTTCTGTCCTTCTATGTGGCGTCCTTCGGGTACTTTATAATGCAGTCTAATTCCCATAAGACAATCTTTAGCTCTTCTATGGCGAACAGGACCTTCAGTTCTTCTATGGCGAAGAAACCCTTCTGTTCTTCTATGGCGGAGAAGACCTTCAGCTTTTTTGTAGGCAAAATTACCCATCTGCTCTATGAAGAAGAACATCAGTTCTTCTATGAAGAAGAACACCAGTTCTTCTATGAGAAAAACCTTCAGCTCTTCTATGAGAAAGACCTTCACTTTGGAGAAAACACCTTTAGCTCCTCAGGGCGAAGAAGACCTTCAGCTCTATTATGGAAAAGAAGGTCTTTAGCTATGAAGATCTTATATGAAGAATTTCTTCTATGGGAAATAAGTCCTTCCGATTTTCTGAGCGAAAGAAGACTTTCTTCTCTTCTATGATATGGTCTTTTTTAATGGCGGAGAAAAACTGGAGATATTCTATTATGACGACCTATCTTCAGCACTTCTAAGGGGAAGAAGACCTTCAGTTCTTCTTTGGGCAAGAATATCTTCAGCTCTTCTACGGATAAATATATGGGAAACTACCTTCGGTTCTCTTTGGAGAAGAATTCCAAGGGAAGAAAACCTTCGGCTCATCTATGAGGAAGAACTTCAGCTCTTCAGTGGCGAAGAAGATCTTAAGTCCTTTTATGGAGAAGATAACCTTCCGATCTTCTTTGGTTAAAGAAGATCTTCTTCGATGCGAAAAAATAAGAACTTCAGCTCTTCTGTGATGGAAGAGGACCTTCTGCTTCAGGATTTCAATATGAAAGAATATATTGAACTCTACTATAGTGTGGAAGGTCAGCAGCCTTTCTATTGGGAAGAAAATCTTCAGTCCTGCAGGTGTAGGAAGTTCGCTCTTCTTTGGTGTAAGGAAATAGTCAGCCCTTCGCTGTAGAAAAAAAAGGTTTTCAGCTCTTCTGTGGTGGAAAAAGAGATTCGGCTTCAGGATTTTAATGTGAAAGAAGATATAAGATATTGAACTCTGCTATAGTGAGGAAGGTCAGCAGCCTTTCTATGGCGAAAAAATCTTCAGTCATGCAGGCGGAGGAAGTTTTTCGGATCTTCTATCTGGAAGGAGAAACTTCCTATAAGTAAGACTTTTAGGTCTTTTATGAAGCATAAGAGCTTCAGAGCTTCTATGCTCCTCAGCTCTTCAGCGACATCCCCTTTGTTATTTAATACAACTCCTTGATCCTACATGAAAGTTCAGTTTGTTCTTCTCGGAGTCTTTAAAGGATTTTGATTGTTGGCCTTCTCTGCCAACCTGAGTCTGAACATTAATTTATCACAAGGAACATCGCTGCAAAAGAAGAAGAACAAAAAACAAACAAAACGAAAATAACGTTGTAAAATCAGGAAGTTAAAAATCGTCTGCAAAATTCTGTTTTGTGCAAGGTCATGCTGCATACATTAAAGGCCTAAACTTGCGGAGAAGTTTTTTGTGTGTGGCTTTAATGCGTAGGTAGGCACACAATCTGATATGTAGGCTGGTAGGATTGTGTTCGGTTTGTTTACATCTTCATTGCTTGCGGAATCCATGCATGTCGTCATGTTGTGGTTTTTAGGCATAACCTTGAAAGTAGAACACAAACACAATAATTCTCTTACGATATATTAAGAAGTTATGTGGAGAATAAGGGGGATTTTTTCCAGATAAGAAATGGAAAAAGGGTGCAATGGAAGTGGAGTGACAGAGAAAAAATAAAAAAAAATTAATTAAAAAGGCAACCTCAAATTGCGGAATTTTTCAATGTCCTAGTACATTTTTGTCAAAGTCTTCTCTTGGATTGTTGTCACTCCATTTTATTGCCTGCCTTTCAGGAGGTTCCCCTTTTAGAAAAAATCCCCCAAGAATGTTATTCTGTTACACATTATCTCTGCTATTGATTGTCAGTTGAAATGAAACTCGAAGACATGTCGAATATATATTAAAAACAAAATTAATAAAAACAAGCAAGACACGTAAACAAAACAACCAACAATTCCGCTGTACCGTTTTAATGCCTGTTTTTTGGTTATGGTCAACATTTTTTTCATCTCTGCATTTGGTTAACCAAATGGGTGTGCCAAAAGTGCTATTTTAAAACTAAAATCTGTGAACAAATGTGGGGTCAGGTCCACAAAAATTGTCTTATAAAATTCGCAGCATCTTTTCAGCCAACAGTAACAGTTTATGTGGTTTGGTATGAAATTTGTCACCATCAGACCCACCCTAATAATCACTATCAATGCTATTTTAATGGCTGAGTTCGGGGTGTGAAATCCCCCAGCCAAAACACACAACAAAGTAAACAAATTATTGAAAAAGAAGAAGAGAAGAAGGCAAAAGAAGAAGAAGAAGCAGTCAGCCAATACGTTTTTAATATTTTACATTTAAATTTCAGAGAAGAAGGCTTACATAATCTAAGCCAAGTTATGGGCCAAACAGTCAGTCAGCCAACCAACGGCATTTTGGGTGTAAATTTCTTTTCATGGATGCCAAATAAAAAACTCAAATCGTATGCATGCGCCCTGGCATTAAAAGTATTTTTAACATTTTTATGGTTAGGGTATTGCCAAACTTGAGCTTGTCGCTGCCTCTGCTGCTATCATCGAAGTTAATGAATGAGTAAATTCGTCAGACAAACAGGCAAGCTGTTTGTCTGATTGGCGTAATGTCTACCTGTTATCTGACAAGAAAGTGTGGTGCGTGTGTGTTTACTAATCAGTTTCCGCATTTGTTGTTGTAAACATTCACATGTAAATTGTTGTTGTCAATATTGCTGGTTTTCAACAACATCGGGATGATAGGTCTGATTGTAATCTTAAATCTTCCATTTAGTCAATCTAACACGAACTGTGCGATGTTTGCATGACAAATTGTTAATTCTACGAAATTCCTCAACAACTTCACAATTGACAAATCTTCAAAAATTCAGGGTCAGTGGAATGTTTAGTTAAAATGAAATACTGAATATGGTGTGAGAGTGTCTTAAAATTTGGTATTTACTTTCAGATAAGAAAAAAATAGAACGGGAGGTGGAATTTTTTCCCATAGGTGAAGGCCTTCTTCTCCATAGAATACCCTGGCCCTCTTCATCACAGAAGAGCCTCATATACAGTCAGCTCTTCTTCTCTATTGGAATAGTTTTTAAAGTTTTCTCTATTCCCAAAGAAAATCTGAGGATTCCTACCCAATAGAAAAGCAGGACGCCTTTTTTTGACATAGAAAAGCTGAAGGTATTAATTTCCATCTTGTCCATAGACGAGCTGAACATTCAGCTTTTCTATGAGCCAAAATACCCACAGCTTTTCTATGGCAAAGAATACCTTCAGCCATTCGATGTGGAAGACCTTATTTTTCTACATCGAAG